ATGCCTGAGAAGGTGTCCTACTAACCTATCTCGCCTATTTCTTATTGATTTCCGTAGAGTTAGATACGGAAGATAAAGGTATACAAAAAGGAATAAGAAAATAATAAATTTACAGAAACTCAAAATATAAAAGACTGACAGGGGCAAGTGTAATAATAAACGACACACTATGTTGAAATATGTCATCTAATACTGTTTCTAAGAAAGTTTTCTTTACTACTTGCTTAATGCTTACCTTTTCGTTTTTGCTGTGGAAATGGTGGAATGGTGTAAACAATGTGAACTGAAGTGCAATTTATTATTTTAAGCAAATTTAATAAAGAGCAATACGGTATTTTTGCTAAATTGCAATAAATATCTTCCAATTACTGTTAAGCAATGTCAGGCTACCTATTGTACCGGTTTACTTATTTATAAACAATGATTTGAATTTCCATTTAACTAACTGCATAAAAAGTATGTTCCAAATACAAAATTGCCTGGCAACACGTAATAAGCGGTCTTGTTAGAGCTTTATCATTTTGTAAATACACGTTTTAACAAGGGTACCAAAATTAGCGCCAAAGCGCCGAAATCAACTCTAACGTAGTACGTATTAGGTATGTTATGTATGAGTAATATTATGCCGGTTTCAGATATGGTTACGCATATGAATTTATTTCGGATTATCGGATAGTTTCGAATAGTTTCAATTATAGATATTCGATCTTCAAGGAACTGTCAAAGGAAAACACAAATAAGTTATAATTTACAAAACAAAACTAAAACTATGACTGTTCTCGAGATAAAAATGTCCAGTTTCTCAGAGTCTCTGAAAGTGAGACTCGAGTCTCCAACTCTCATCGAGTCTCTTTGGTGTCGCTGAGAGAGACTGTCGAGAGACTGTCAAAAAAAACTGTTTAGCGTCTCTGAACGAGAGCCTCGAGTCGCTCATGGAGAGATTCTCATTTCGTATCCAGTCTCTGAACGAGAGACTCGAATCTCTGAACAAGAGACTCGAATCTCTCAATAAGTAGTGTCTCGATAGACATGGTTAAAAATTTTTAAGTTCAACGTATTTCAGAGACCCCAGTCTTTCTACGAGAGACTCGACTCTCTCAATTTTTCAGTTTTATTCATTCAGTCTCTCTGTGAGAGACTCGAATCTCTGAATTAACAATTTTATCGTTCGAGTCTCTCAAACAGAGACTGTGAGAGATCCATAAAAACACTTAAGCAATAACTGAGAGACTGGAGAGAGACTGAAAAGTTTTGTCTAGGGTTCCAGTCTTGGTACTGGTCTTGGTCTTGCTTATTCGGTCTTTCTTGAAGTGTCAATAAGTTGTGAAAGTTATGAAAAGTCTAGAAGTCACTCTTCCTCCAATGCATAACGTGACCCTTCCCCGCAACGCATAAATTTACCTTTTAGCGAAGAAAATAGTACGAGCTACTTGAAGGAAGTAAATAATATCAAAAACAAAATATTTCAACCATGTTATCCAGACATAGGAATAAAGAACACACTCCGAAGATATTCTTGTAGATCCCTTTTTTCTAACAGTGGTAAAGTTTCGTTTTTTATATTTAGTGTTAAAATCTAAGGCAAACTGAACATTTCAAATACTGAAAATGTTATGTTCCGGGAAAAGAATATATTAAAATTGCTTCAAATAGTTTAACCCTTAAATCTACCGGAATTAATGATTAGTCTTGCGTATTTGGTCTAGGTTTTGCATATTCGGTCTTTGTTTTAGTTTTCGTTTTAAGTATAAAGACGGTCCTGGTTTTGCTCATTGCTTTAATAAAAAGCTACTCCGAAACGACATAATACATGAATTAGTTAATATCTAATCAAAAGATATTTCTAAAATACAGCCTCCTTTATATCTCTGTAAGCCTAAAACAGATTCACAGTTTTAAATATACAGTAGAGAATCGCTAATCCGGATTAATTAGAAATCGAATGAACCGGATTATGAAAGCCTGAATTACTCACTCCTCATTAAGAGATTCTTCTTTGGTTACCGAATATGTATATACTTATTACACCTTCGAAAATGAAAAATAAATAGGAAAGGGCGCGATAACGATCATTAAAGACACTTTAGGGATAGGTCTACAGGGGCAAAAGATGAGTATGCTTATATTTGCAGATGATAGAGCTTTATTAGCATCTAGCAAGGACGAGTTAGAGATAGCCTTAAATAAAATGTAAACGGTATTGACAAAACAGTATTCTATGAAAATAAATAAAAGTTAAACACAAATACATACGAGGGTGGATTGATAAGTTTCCGGCCTGACCAAGAAAAACAAGGTTTTTAAAAATTTTTTTTTTTTATTTCTCAACATAATCTCCTCCAAGGCTGATACATTTCTCATAGCGGTGTTCCAGTCTATTAATGCCATCTCTATAGACTGATTCGTCAAGCTCCTCAAAATAACCATTTACAGCTTCGATTACTTC